TATCAAACTTTGAGGAAAAATACAAAAATCAGCTCGACAGGTATAAGGGAGAACGAAATAACATTGTTTCCGCGCAGGAGGTCGAGGCTTCGATTTGGCCACTAGAAGAACCAGTTGCTGTACGATTCATTCATTTGCTGCGGTGGCAAATTGGTCCAGGGAGATAAGCATGCCACCAATCTGCTTCTCAGCAACCCTCAAGAGAAGAAGCCATCGACCAAGTCAGCGGATGGTTACTGACTGGCAATTGTTACCCTCGAAATACTTACCAAGAAAGCAGCTAAGGAAGGGATTTTGACTTAATGAAATTTAGACTTAAAAGCTTAAAAGCCCAAAAACAGCATACTTTAGGTACAGAAATAACAAGATTTCCCACTTTCTGCGCAGGAAAGTACAACAATCATAACATCTTCTGTAAAAACATACTTGAATCTAGAGGAATTTTCGAATGTAACAGGTGCCTTAAAAGGCCTATTTTCGCCGTCTTCTCGTTTTTTTGTTAACCTTTTTTACGTCTTTTTTCATAACAACTTCAGAGGAAACTTTTAAAAACTCAGATTTCTTCAAACAAAAGTTTTCAAAATTTGGAAAAAATTCAAAATTAAGCTCGAAGGTGCTTAAATACAAGTTCAGAAGAATACGAACTTCAAATCAGCCGTTCAGTTAGGTTAAGGCAAATTTCAGAACACAAACCTTTGGCCGTTTCTGACTTGTTTCCGGAGTGCTGGAACGAGGTCGTGAGGTTCGACTGGAATTACGATCATCGTTTTTCTCTTCCGGTTTAGCGCCCATTCCTACGGCAGCAGCTGCAGCCACTGCGGCCATAGGGTGAAAGGGCGCCTGGGCAGCTGCTAGGCCCATCGGTGTAGCCATACCCATACCCGGGATCATTGCCAGCTGTTGCTGCGCATGTACCTGACTTCCGATGGCCTGAAATTCATTGAAACAGAGAGCATTATAGCGCAAGCGTACAATTTGATATGGCCCTCGCCGGGGGCAATTCGCTTGAGAGTTCCATGCTGCTGGCTGGCAATGTTAGTGAGATCTGCTCGCACACAACAGGTGCCCAAAACTTTTTCAGATGAAAAGTACTCGAGTATACGACTTAATGGACCGAAACATTTCTTACCTACTTTAACAATTCTTTACAACCCTTTCATCTTTTTGTTTATATTTTCTCCCTAACCCTAAAAAGCTGTGAGGCTGAAAACTTCGGCAGGATGATGTTTTCTGCCTATGCTGTGGGATCTAACAAACTCAAACTTAGCTCCCAAGTGTATGATGAAGTTGCATTTACAATCATGTAAAAATTCTGGCGCGAAAATTATCCGGGAACCAGAGTCGCTCGCCCCGATGGTGGCAACCAGTGAACAACGCATATTATTAATGAATGTTATCTGCAAAATAAATAGGCTGTTTCTGGAGAAGTGGGTACCCAGGTCAAACAGGCAATTGGTAGGCGCTAGCGGAAGGCACAGAGCTCAGCATCAAAGAGTCTAGAAGAGAGTAGCGTCTGGCCTGAAAATGAGCATACCAGTAACACTGCTAGCATGGGATACCCATACTCACTACCCCCGGATGTTCTTTATATTCTTGCAAAAAATTCGACAAGCCCATTGTGAAGGGCTTTAAAAGCGCTAAACAACATCATAGGGCCCAAAAGCGCAAAAAAAAAGAGGCATGAGTGAAGAGAAAGCTTAATGCAGAAATTTTAAGACAACGGGGGAAAAAGCCTCGTGGGAATTCATTCGTTCTTTGCAAAAATTTGAGAACCGTTTGAGACAGATTTTGAGGGATGGGAAAAAACCGGCGCAACAATACAAGACTTCTGGAAAAAGCAATCAAAAATCACGAAAATCAAAAATCACTTCCGTGATTTAAACCCACACGAATGATGATGACTGGATGCACAACGTTCCGGATGAGGGCGTTAATAGCCCAGCAGCATCGGCTGGGGAGGTTCTGCGTGTTGTTGACAAGGATGCTGAGGAAATTGCTTACTTCTCAAGCATGCTAAACCTGATTATGAGAAAAATAATGATGCTGTGCTATGGTGGTGGTCGAGGAAAACCGACCATGA